TTTTTAAATGTTATAATGATGGCTTACGAGTGTGATGGCGAGGCTTAATATGATTGTTCAAGTCATTAGTATCTAATTTAATATCAAGATCAGGGACGGAGCCAATGAAGGATAAGGAAGGGCAGTTGCCACCCTAAGCTTTTGAAAAACATTTAATATGGTACTCTAACTTTCATTTGTTAAAAATTTTGTTTTTATAATATGAATTTTAAGGACTATTTTAAATGAAAAGAAAATATTTAGGATCTAAATAAAATTTTTTCAAAAAATAGGGATATAATTCAAGTAAAATGAATTTATGTCAATTAATTAATTAAGAATTAGGGTTTTTAAATATTTTTTCATCTATTAATCCACCAAAAAAACTTTGATTATCTATTTAAACAACTTTAAATTTATAGTTTTCTTTAGGATTTTTTTTTCTTAATATTCTATGTAAAAATTTAAAGTGTTTTCTTGTTGACATGGACATTTTTACCTTCTATGATTGAATTTATAATCTTTTATTTTTGTTAAATCAATCTAAATTAGAGTTCATTTTCTAAAAACAATATTTTACTATTTTTTTATAATATTAGTATTTATCAATATGATTTCCAAAAAATTAAGAGGAAAATACCTCAAAACTTTATTGCTTCAATAAAATCAAAACACTCTCTTATTCCAACTTTAAGAATATGTTATTTTTATCTTTTTCAATTCAAGTTTATTAAAACAATTTAATTTTGTGATGTTTTTCTTCATAATTTGTTAATGATTTAACTAACAAACTCATTTCTCTTTTTTTTTTTAAATTTATTTTTCAATTGATTCTTGTATAATTTATTACAATGATATTTCATTTTTTATTATAATTAAAAAATATATTTATTCCTAATATTTGTTAAAAATATATCAATGAAAAAGACCACAAATAAATCTTTTTATAAGAAAAAAGATTAAAGAAAATGAATTAGTGCCATATAAAATACTCTTAAAAACTTAGATCTTCAACAACAAATTTCGCCCCCAAACCAAATTTTATGGCTCCGCCCCCGATAAAGATATGCATAGGGCTATACAAAATATATGCAGCAAAATCAACTTTAATTAGTTATAAAATGTTGCCCAATAATTTAGTATCAAACATAATAGGTTAAAACCCTATTTTGGTCCTTAAACTATTGTACAGACCTCTAATTTGGTTCCTAAATTAAAAAAATCCCTGATTTGATCCCTACTGTTTACCATTTTAACCCTGATTTGGTCCTTCTGTTAAACATCCGCTTACGTGTCTTGTTACTTGATGGGGAAAAAGATGACATGTCAAATATTAATACACGTGGAAGACAATAAGACCAAAAAAAGTGATGACATGGAAAAAATAATAATATAAAAAAATATTATAAAAAATAAAAATAAAATTTTTTTTTTTCTTTTTCCTTGTCTTTCCTTTTCTCTTTCCCCTTCCCCTTCCCCTTCTCTTTCCCCTTCGAACCCAGGCGTGGCCTGGGTTCGACGCAACCCAGCACACCTGGGTTCCACCGAACCTAGCGCTTGGGTTCAATGCCCAACATGCTTGGGTTCCACCGAACCCAGCATGCCTAAGTTCGATGAAACCTAGGCGTTGGGTTCCTTAAGACCAAGCCCTAGGTTCCAAAAAAAAAAAAAAATTTCTGTTTTCTTTGTTTGGGTTTTGTTGTTTGATGATATGAGAAATTGATTGATGAAGATGAAGAAGGCAAGGTAGCCATTGGGTTTTTGCAGGTGGATGAAGATGAGGAAGGCATAGGTGCTGGGTTCGATTTCGAACCCAGCAAGCAATCGAACCTAGCATCGAACCCAGCAGCCCTTGGGTTCCTGCAGGTCTTGGGTTCGAAGGTGCTGGGTTTGATTTCGAACCAAGCAAGCACTGGGTTCCTTTTCGAACCCAACAACTGTTGGGTCAATGGATCTTTTGAGTTCCATTTGTTTATCGATCTGTTGTCTGTTGGGTTCTGTTTCAAACTCAGCAGTCGTTGGGTCGATGGATCTGTTGAGTTCGATCTATTTATAGATTTGTTATCTGTTGTGTTATCCTCATATTCTTGCAGGTGCTGGATTCGATTTCAAACCTAGCAAGTGTTGAGTTTTGTTTCCAACCCAACTGCAGTTGGATCGAAGGATCTATTGATTTCTATCTGTTGGTTTGTTGTGTTATTCTCGGATTTAATATTAAGAAATGTTAGGGTTTGCAGAAGGTGAAAGGAAAGGGAGAGGAAGAAGAAAGGGAAAAAAGAAAAACGAAGAAAGAAAGAAAAAAAAAAGAAACTTTTTAAGGTAATTTCTTGCCATCTCATTTTTTTACCACGTTGTACATCCTAGGTGTCAAAATGTTTTAACATGTCATCCTTGTCTTCGTCAAGTAACAAGACACGTAGGCGGATATTTAACGGAATGACCAAATCGGGGTTAAAATGGTAAATAATAGAGATCAAATCAAGGATTTTTTTAGTTCAGGGACCAAATCGAAGGTCCGTACAATAGTTCAGGGACCAAAGTAGGGTTTTAACCAACATAATATTAAGATATGCATATAACCATACAAAGTATATACATCCAAACCAACTTCAATTAATTATAAAAAATTACTAAATAACTTATTTTTC